GGGGAGGGGACAGGTGAGGGGGGGGAGGGGGAGTGGACAGGTGTGCCCAGGTGAGGGTGTGTCCCCCAGGTGCCCCCAGGTGTGACCCAGGTGTGTCTCAGGTGTCCCCAGCTGTCCCCAGGTGCCCCCAGGTGTCTCCAGGTGTGTGCCCAGGTGTGCCCAGCTGTCCCCAGGCTCCCCCAGGTGTTCCCAGGTGTGCCCAGGTGTGACACAGGCGTGTCCCGAGGTGTCCCCAGGTGTCCCCAGGCTGTCCCAAGTGTCCCCAGGTGTCCCCAGGCTCCCCCAGGTGTGCCCAGGTGTGACCCAGGTGTGTCCCCAGCCCCAGGTGCTGCTGGCGCTGCTGCGCGAGGCCGTGGAGGCGCTGGAGAGAAGAACCCAGGAGGTGAGGGGGGGACAGGTGGGGACAGGTGAGGGTGGGCGGGGCTCTGGGTGTGCCCAGGTGTGTGGGTGCATATGGGTGTGTGTCCAGGTGTGTTCAGGTGTGTCCAGGTGTGTACCCAGGTGTGTGGGGTGTACCTGGGTGTGTGTCCAGGTGTGTGGGCGTGGCTCTGGGTGTGTATCCAGGTGAGTGGGCGTGGCTCTGAGTGTGGTTCCAGGTGTGTGGGTGTGGCCTGACAGGTGTCCCCACCCCCTCAGGTGCTCTCAGGGCAGGGGGCGGGGCTGTGGGTGTGTCCAGGTGTGTGGGTGTGTCCAGGTGTGTACCCAGGTGAGTGGGTGTGGCTCCAGGGGTGTGTCCAGGTGTGTGGGGTGTAAATGGGTGTGTCCAGGTGTGTGGGTGTGGCTCTGGGTGTGTCCAGGTCAGTGGGTGTGTCCAGGTGTGTATCCAGGTGTGTCCAGGTGTGTGTCCAGGTGTGTCCAGGTGTGTATCCAGGTGTGTCCTGGTGTGTATCCAGGTGTGTCCAGGTGTGTATCCAGGTGTATTCAGGTGTGTCCAGGTGTGTGTCCAGGTGTGTGGGCGTGGTCTGACGGGTGGCCCCGCCCCCTCAGGTGCTGTCGGGGCAGGGGGCGGAGCGACACCTGCAGCACCTGCGCCAGGCCGCCCTCGCCGCCGGGGAGCCGCTCCCCGAAATCTTCCTGGACCCCGGCTACGCCCAGGCCACGCACTTCCGGCTCTGCACCGTGCAGGTGAGCCCCGAAACGCACCTGGGGGGCTCAAAATGCACCTGGGAACTCCTAAAATACACCTGGGAGGCCCCAAAGTGCACCTGGGGGGCTCAAAATACACCTGGGAGGCCCAAAATACACCTGGGAACTCCTAAAACACACCTGGGGGGCCCCGAAACGCTCCTGGGAGGGCTCAAAATGCACCTGGGAGGCCCAAAATGCACCTGGAAATACCTAAAATATATCTGAGAACTCTTAATCCACCCAAAATCCCCCAAAATTCCCTGAAATGATCAAAACTCGCCCCAAATCTTCCCAAAATTCCCAAAATCCCCCCAAAATCCCCCCAAATCCCCCCAAAATTCCCCAAATCCCCCTAAAATCCCCCCAAATCCACCCCCAAATCCCCCCAAAATCCCCCAAATCCCCCCAAAATCCCCCCAAAATTCCCCAAAATCCCCAAACCCCCCTAAATTCCCCCAAATCCCCTCTCCAGGTGCGCTCCCGTGAGGGATTTTGGCTGCTCCGGGGCCCGCTGGTACCTGACGGTTACGGGGTGGGGGTGGGGCACGTGGCCCCGCCCCGGGACCCCCGGGACCCCTCCCCCAGTCCCGGGGGGCTGCGCGTGGCCGTCAGCGCCTTCCGCTGCTGCCGCAGCACCGAGGCCGCGCACCTGGGCGGGGCCATCCGCGGGGTCCTGGATCACCTGGCGGCGCTGCTGAGGGGCGGCGGCCTGGACTGAGCCACGCCCAGAGCAGGGGGGACACGCCCAGGTCAGGTGGGACACGCCCAGAGCAATGGGGACACGCCCACCTCACCTGGGACACGCCCAGAGCAACGGGGACACGCCCAGGGACACGCCCAGGTCACCTGAGCCACACCCAGGTCAGGTGGGACACGCCCAGAACAACGGGGACATGCCCACCTCACCTGGGATACGCCCACCTAACCTGGGACACGCCCACCTAACCTGGGACACGCCCACCTCACCTGGGACACGCCCAGAGCAACGGGGACACGCCCAGGGACACGCCCAGGTCACCTGAGCCACGCCCAGGTCAGGTGGGACACGCCCAGGTCAGGTGGGATACGCCCAGAGCAACAGGGACACGCCCTCTTCACCTGGGACACGCCCACCTCGCCTGGGACACGCCCAGAGCAACGGGGACACGCCCAGGGACACGCCCAGGTCACCTGAGCCACGCCCAGGTCAGGTGGGACACGCCCAGAGCAATGGGGACACGCCCACCTCACCTGGGACACGCCCACCTCACCTGGGACACGCCCAGAGCAACGGGGACACGCCCAGGGACACGCCCAGGTCACCTGAGCCACGCCCAGGTCAGGTGGGACACGCCCAGGTCAGGTGGGATACGCCCAGAGCAACAGGGACACGCCCTCTTCACCTGGGACACGCCCACCTCATCTGGGACACACCCAGGGACACGCCCAGGTCAGGTGGGATGCGCCCAGGGACACGCCCAGCTCACCTGAGCCACGCCCACCTCACCTGGACCACACCCATCTCACCTCCTGGACCAACTCACCTGGACCACACCCAGAGCGGACTGGACACACCCAGGGACACGCCCAGGTCACCTGGACCAACTCACCTGGGCCACGCCCATCTCACCTGGACCAACTCACCTGAGCAAATTTGGGCCCCGAGTCTTTGCTTTTGTGAACAGCAATAAAAATTTGGTTTTTTGGGAGTTTTTTGGCGTTTTTGGGAGTTTTTTGGGAGCATTTTGGGAGTTTTTGGGGAGTTTTTCGGAGTTTCTGGATTTTGGGCCCAGGTCACCTGAGCCACGCCCAGGTCAGGAGGGACACGCACAGGTCAGGTGGGACACGCCCTCTTCACCTGGGACACACCCAGGGACACGCCCAGATCATCTGGGACACGCCCAGAGCAACGGCGACACGCCCAGGTCACCCGGGACACGCCCACCTCACCTGGACAAACTCACCTGGACCACGCCCATCTCATCTCCTGGACCAACTCACCTGGGCCACGCCCAGAGCAACCTGGAGCCACCCGGGGACACGCCCAGCTCACCTGGGGCACACCCACAACACCTGGACCAACTCACCTGGACCACGCCCAGTTCACCTGGGCCACGCCCACAACACCTGGACCCCGCCCCCTCACCTGAGCGAATTTGGGCCCCGAGTCTTTGCTTTTGGGAACAGCAATAAAAATTTGTTTTTTTGGCGTTTTTGGGAATTTTGGGGGAGTTTTTGGGGGAGTTTTCCGGAGTTTCTGGATTTGGGGGATCCAGGTGAGGATTTCGGGTTGGAATTTTGGGAATCCAGGTGAGGATTTGAAGGAATCCAGGCCGGGATTTCGAGGGGTTCAATCCTGATCCGATCCAAGGAATCCAGGCCGGGTTTTGCTGGATTTAGGCCGGGATTTGGGGGTCGATCCAGCCCCGATCCATTGGATCCAGGCCAGGATTTGGAGATTGTTCCAACTCCAATCCAGCAGATCCAGGCCAGGATTTGGGGCGTCAATCCCAATCCAATCCAGGGAATCCAGACCAGGATTTGGGGGGTTGATCCCGATCCAATCCAGGGAATCCAGGCCAGGATTTGGGGGTCGATCCAGCCCCAATCCATCGGATCCAGGCCAGGATTTGGGGGGTGTTGATCTCAATCCAATCCAGGGAATCCAGGTCGGGATTTTGGGGGGGGGTCAATCCCAATCCAATCCAGGGAACCCAGGCCGGGATTTGGGGGGTCA